AAACCTTCACTTGATTGTAATTTAAGTCGATCAGCAATATTTCGACAAAAATCTTTTGCACGTGTCGATGAATCAACTTCAAATGCTTCAGATGTATCATCAGGAAAATAAACTTTATGATATATTTGTGTTGTCATATGTTGTATAGCTTCAACTTCAACTTGATGTGGAGGATGTTTACGTTGACCATTTCTAAAACAAAATCATTGAGCAAACAGAATTTTTTCTTTGTAAATATTACTTTAATGTTCGTTGTAATCGAGCAAAACAATCAGCAGCTAATTGATGTTTACGTGAACGTAAAAATAAATTCATTTCTCGAAGTAAAACAGCACTTGGTGCAAAACATCCACTAACTAACCACATTAATTCCCAACCACGTGATTCACTTGCTTGATGACCATTGTCAGTTAATTGTTTAACTATTTGACAATAAACTTCATCTTTTAAAATTTCCTATAAATAAATAGAAGTTCGTAAAAAGTGATACTATTTCATTATCAAATAAATCCAAAAAAACGAAAACCTACATATTTCAATGCTGGATCAAAAATAGCATCGGTTAATTCATTAGTCGGTCGACGTCGTAGACCAGTTTGATAATCTCCCATATATTTAAGTATATTCATAAAACAAGCGCAAGCTTCTTCACCTAATTCAGTTTTTTCTTGTAATTTTTTCAATAATGGTTGTCGTAAAGGTTCTTTTTGAAAAGCCCATAAACGATCACCATTATTATTCGTTCCTCCACGTCGTGAAAATGTATTTGACCATGTACGTTTTGGTGGTAAACGAAAATTTATTTCAGCATATTTTTCTAATGTATAACCTTGTTCAGGTAGAAATTCTCCATTATTATTTCCACTAACTGATAAACCAGAAAATAAATGTTCATTTTGTATTTGTTGTTGATTTGGATCCGCCCATTGTAATGCAAATATTTGTAAAACTTCTTGTGGTGGTTTTGATAATGTTGGTAAAATATAAACACATTCACTCGGAAATTCACCAGTTGCACCTGTACGTTCATTATAACCAAATAATGAACCAGTCGCATTTGAACGTGAATTTTCTTCTAATGTTATTAAATCACCACGATGTACAGATAAACTACCTGATCCTGATGATTCAAAATCTTGTATAACAACAACATAATTTGATTTTCGTTTAAGACCTTCTAAGAAATTAATAACTAAATCACGTATATCATCAGCATTATTTGATGTAAATGTATATTCTTCATTTTTTATTGTTATTATTGTAAAACTATTACTTTGTTGTCTACTAGATGATTTACTACTAAGTATTTGAGTTATTTCAGGAAATGATAATTCAAGTAAAACTTGTTCTTGATCATCAATAACATAAACACCTGTCCAATTAACAGCAATAATAACTTCATTTTTAGGTAATGTTGGTCCAGAAAATTTATATGCTTCATAGAAACGTGAAAATAATAATGGCCATTTAAATCGGGCATAATTAACAACATCTTCTTTAACACGTATAATTGATACAGAATCTTTTGCACTGCTAAAATAACGTTTATGAGCATGAACTACAATTTGTAACCAACGATCAATAGATTTATTTTGAACAAGTTGATTATCAGGAATATATTGAGGTAATAATTCACGTAAACGATCAATATGTATTTCTTGACCATATTCAATAAAATATTGTTGAGCAGCTATCATAGCTAAATCATCATCTAAATTAAGTAAAAGAAAACATATGTCTAATCTATAAATTATTTAATGAAAGACAATTAGTATATTACCTTTTTCACATCGATATTCTCCAAATTTAATGCCTCGTACAACTTGTTGATAGATTAAATTAGTTGCTACAGCATCATCATGTGGATTATGCCATGGTGCAAAGATTTCTTTTCGAAAAAATAATCTCCATGGTGCTATTTTTTCTAATGTTCCTTGTTC